TTGTGACTTGTTTTTTTTTTGTTTTTGTTTTTTTAATTGAACAGACGGTTTGTACGGCAAGTTTGTCAGTCGGATCAGCAGAGGGTTATTAACAAAACAGTTTGTTAATAACCAAGGGTAGGTTTATCACTAAAAATGGTATTGTACTTTATCTATTCTTTAAACAGCATTATGGTAAAAATGGAGCACTATGGTGACAGCTTTCTTACCTGTACGCGATGGCGTTTTACTTCGGTCAGAACGGCACTTTCTCTCAGTTTCTCCCCTCCGTTTGGCCTCAAAAACACAGTGTTCATGGTCATCCAGTTTGAAATGTTGAGTACAAAGACAGGGTAATTTCCTCACCCCCCCATGTCATCCAAGATATTCATATCTTCTTTTCCTCAGTTGAAAGGAAAAGTTGGTTTTTGAGGAAAACTTGTTGGTTTTTTCTATATGGAGAACGGGGTCCAAGGGTTTGACGGTCTAAATGTGAGTTTCAGTGCAGCTTCAAAGTCTCGCCTAGACAAGATCTTATCTAGAGTCTAGACAACCAGTGGCCATTTTCTACAAAAAAAAAAAAAAGCATTCATATACTTTTTAACCACAAATGTTCATCTTGCACATCCATGACTTCATGCATTATGTGATCACGTTGGAAAGGTCAGGCGGTAACCTGACATGGCGGAAATTGTAGTGTAAGGTGAAAAACACTCATTTTGTCCTCCAACTTCAAAATCGTCTGACATCGTCATACTTCGTCATACATCGATGGACTTCAAAAAATATACGGCCATTCACTGCCATTGTAAAGCTTGTAAGAGCCAGTACATTTCTTTTTTTTTTTGAATATCTCAATTGTATTCGTCTGAAAAACAAATAATGTCATGGGTGAGTAAATCATTGAGCTAATTTGTTCATTTTTGGGTGAACTATCCCTTTAAACCTCTCTCACTGTATGACGTAGGATCACCATTTGGGAGCCCCAACTACAGAAATCGTCATGATTAGTCATCTTTCGACACCGATAAGCGTATTTCCAGAGCAGACAGGTGAGAGTGGCCTTGGATGGCAACGTGGCCAGTGCATTATGGGTGTTGAAGTTTTCCTACCTATTTGGCAAAATGGAAGACAACAGCCTTTTGTTTTTTTCCAGTCAGAGCACTGACTTCATAGATTTGTTTTTGCATAGACAGACGAGTTTTGTTGAACGGCCTTTTTGCCAGCAGTGAAGTCCCTTCTGTTATGAATGATTAACATGACAAATTTATGGTCATTTGTAAATGTGGGTAGATACATGTCAATGAGCTCATAGTGACAATGTCATAATTGTGAGCATTTCTGAATGACTTGTTCTTGCAACATAAGAAAGGGTTTGTCTACATCATATCTTAAATGAGCAAGCCAACTAGTCTCTCAGTTAAATAGGAAATGTTAAAAGTTGGTTTGCATTGCACAGCCATTTTAGAGTTTTAAACACACATGTACCTAAACATTACCTATTCGCTTATAAAATGAAGCATACAAATTTACACAGTGCTAAATAATTCATGTCCTAAAATTGAGAACATAAGGGGTGCGCACACACATAACACGGGTGGATTCCTCAGGAATATTCTAAAGTGCAGCAAATATGAAAAATTTAATCATGCCAGAGAACAAAAATTCATAAGGAAATGTATAAAATCAATATTTTATACTACTTACTGCACCTATTCTTTATTACAAACCTGTTCAGGAACAAACATTAATAATAAATGCTGACGGGGTTCTGCAGGTACAGGGTGAAAGATAGAGCTTTCACAGTTCAAAAGCAATACTATTTCATTCATCTTTAAAGCTTCCCACTCTTGTTTTTTATTTCTCCGGGAGCCATTGAGGTGCTCTTTTAAAACTAGAAGAGGGAAAGGGAAAACAGGCTTTGATAGATTGAATGATCCGTGGTGCCAAGTGGCTGTCAACACAAACAGCGATAGCAAAAAATGGGAGTGAAAATGTTCCAAATAGGAGTTTTCAAGGTTATGGGCTGTAGCAATAATTTGAGGCAGGGGTGTGGGATCTGAGGGGCCAGGACATACCCGCCTCCATCAACTCTGATATTCAAATATTTGCATATGTTGGGCTGAAATGCAAAATCATAATATGCCATAATTTTACCATCTGATAATATTTAAAACAAAGGTAACGGCCGACACGAAGAAACTTCCAGGACCTTCAGCATTAAAAACGAATAAATGTTAGAGAGCATGAACTTTCACCATGTTTAGTAGGCTACATATCAGGGAATATCAGAATATGAGCAGTGATAAAAGCAAACGTTATCTTTAAGATACAGACTCCATGACTTCCATGTCACTTATCTCTGATTAGCATGCTAGATTTACATTCAAATATTTCAGTGGCAAGGACCACTTACTTTATAATATTTCAGAAATTTTCCACAGACCCCATTGGGGCTCCCTGGACCCCATTTTGAAAACTCCTGTGCAAATGTGTTCCTAAAAGTTGGCAAAATAAAGTCTAGCAGTTATAAAAAAAAAAGTTGACAAAATTGGCTAGCAGTAACCATTGACTCGCGCTAGCCTAGCACTGGCGAACTATGCAACTGGAACGACTGGATGAAAATTTTTGAAAACTGTTTCTTCTGATAAATAACACTAAAAGGGGTCGCACACCGGACGAGAAGCGCCGCGCCACGTCTAGGACAACTCCAGATACACATTCTGCACGCACATTCTAATCACGTGAGCTCGATTTTGAATCAACTCCTGGTAGAAGAGCTGCACACATCGTGCATCGTGGGTTTTAACTTGATTATTATTTATTTTTTTATGTTGATTGAATAATAGCTTATGTTTGAACGTTAATTGACTAAAAGTGTCTTTCACGTTAAGGCCCCGTCCACACTACTGCGTTTTCGTTTAAAAACGGAGAATTAAAACGAATACGATCTCCGTCCACACCAGCGTTTTATCTGCGTATTAGAAATGATCTCCGTCCACATTAAAACGACTGAAAACGCGTATCACGCGTATCTGGGCGTGCGCATGCCGGTGTAAACAGTGGTTGGCGAATCAGGGAAGGATACGTCATGACTGATAACATCCAATCATAGAGCCGAGCGTCAGCCTCTGCGTTTCTAAACTCCACCGTTTTGTCTCGTCCACACTAAAACGCCCTCCGGAGATTCAAAACGAAAAACGGAGCTGTAGCGTTTCTAAACTTCTCCGTTTTAGGTCTTCGTTTTTCCCGTTTTAGTTTGGACGGGAGGTGCAAACGTAGCAAAAGGTCTCCGTTTTTAAAGGAATACACGGTAACACTTTACAATACGGGTGCACTAATATGCATTAATTCATGCTTAACCAATGCACAGATAATACTGAGTTAATGTATAACACATGAAGAACTAAACCATTAATTAATGATTACTGCATCAGCAACTAATAAAGAGTCAATATGATTAATAGATTAAGAAATACATGGATTGCTGTTAATTCAATGTGATATTGTGTATTAATTCCTTAATAACATATTTTATTAAATAATAGTGTAAATTAATGTGTTAATTAGCACAATTAGTCAAAGCTATGCACTTCAACTTCCAGTTGTCTGCTTTAATTAATCATTAGCGAATGATTTGCAAAGGAATCATTATGTTATGACTTTACTTGTTCGGGCACATCATTATTAACTAGTCATTTAGTAATTGTAGTAATTTGCACATGAATTAGCATTAACAATGAAGTAATTAATCATGTGTTAATGCATATTAGTGTACCTGTCATATTATCTGGAAGTTGAAATACAAGGCTTTGGCTTGGTATGTCAAAATGGCTGTCCTAACAAGTACTCAGGTAAACACATTGAGTTTTGTCTCAAGGGAGCGTAAACATTTGAGAATCAGTATCAGTATATTGGATCCATGCATTCAATCTTAAAGTGACAGCAGACTAATAACCCTGGTGCTGTATGTGTCATTAAAGGAGTAGTTCACTTTAAAGGAGTAGTTCAAAAAAAAAAAAAAAAAAAAAAAAAAAAACCTTTTGCTGATAATTTACTCACCTCTATGTCATCCAAGATGTCCATGTCTTTCTTTCTTCAGTCGAAAAGAAATTAAGGTTTTTGATGAAAACATTCCAGGATTTTCTCCATATAATGGACTTCATTGGGAACCAAACGGTTCAATGTCCAAATGAGAGTTTCAGTGCAGCTTTAAAGTGCTTTAAACGACATCAGATGATGAATAAGGGTCTTATCTAGCGAAATGATGTCATTAAAAAAATAAATTAAAAAGTTTAAGTTTTATAAGCACAAATGCTCGCCTTGCTCTGTTCTGTGATCAGCGTTCGTGACTCTCCTGTTCAAACTTGTTCATCAAAATGAACAAATCTTTTTTCTCGAGTCATGGCTCAAAGGGTCCAAGTCAAGATAAGACCCTTATTCATCGTCTGGTGTCGTTTAAATCCCTTTGAAGCGGCACTGAAACTCTCATTTGGACCTTGAACCGTTTGGTTCCCAATGAAGTCCATTATATGGACAAAATCCTGTAACGTTTTCATCAAAAACCTTCATTTCTTTGCGACTGAAGAAATAATGACATGGACATCTTGGATGACGTGGGGGTGAGTAAATTATCAGCAAAAGTTGTTTTTTTTTTTAAAGTGAACTACTCTTTTAATGTTAATCAAACTATAAAATACAAAGATAAAATCACTCAATGTTCTTGACTGAATAACTTTTCTAACTTTAATTGTAAAAATTTATATTTAAGATATATATTTTTAGTAAAATGTCATTAAAGGTTTCAAATAAAGAACTAAAGACTCCATGTGCTGTGTGAAAGCTATAGCAACCAAATTACAAATTATCACAAAAAAAAAATTCAAAAGTGAGATAATAAAATCTATCTAGCTAATCCATCTATATGGCACCATATATTGGGTCTTTCCACATAGTATCAAAAATGGTATTGAAAATCAAGTATTTTAAAAGATATCGTATCGGAATAAGACAATCCAATATCGTGACAACACTAAAATGTATAATTTTTAATTAATGAGATTGTCCTTCCCCTAATATAATCTGCAATGACTAAGTACCAAAGCATATTTCAACACAGGATACAAAAAAGTGCTTGTTCGAGACATGTCATGGGGTCTTTAACATAGTCATTTTTTTCAAGAAAAGTCCAACAGTATAAATTGGCAACAAATCTTATGTTTGCTTTTGACATTCCTGTGCTTTAATCCAACTGTTGGCCTCTAAGGCAAGCGCTGATATATGTGTGTAACAAATGCCTTCTCTGTGATAATCAGCTCCTCCCTTCCCTTTAACCTGCTGTTCTCTGGTGGAGGAGTTTAACACAGGCGTAGACTTTAATGGCTTCTGAATGGAGTGTTTTCATGGAGTGTTAGGCAAAGACCCTCCCCTGGATCCCAGCGCTCAGTGGCAAGGAACAGAGGCTGATTTAATCGGACAGTCTCTCCCCTGGTGCCGTCCCGCTGGAGGAGAAAGAGAGACAGGGAGAGAATGGAGCATTACTGAGGCGAACCGGCTGGATGTGCAGGCCAGTGGAGACAGACATATGTTGAGAGTCACTGCCTGCTAAACTGAGAGAGAGAGAGAGAGAGAGAGAGAGAGAGAGAGAGAGTCAAAACAGTTGACTTAATGAAGTTTGTGATTCCTGTGCCTAGTTTCACTAAATGGAATTGAGCAGCATTTAAAAAGGCTGTTCCTTGTGAAACACATTTGTTATGATAAAGTGCAGTTTAGTACATTTAAATATTAACTTAATGAAATATCAAATAAATCTACAGTTAAAGGAGTAGTTCACTTTCAAAAAAACTATTGCTGATAATTTACTCACCCCCATGTCATCCGAGATGTCCATGTCTTTCTTACTTCAGTCGAAAAGAAATTAAGGTTTTTGATGAAAACATTCCAGCCTTTTCTCCATATAATGGACTTCAATGGGAACCAAACGGTTCAAGGTCCAAATGAGAGTTTCAGTGCAAACTGCAAACTGTTCAAAGGGCTTTAAATGATTCCAGACGATGAATAAGGGTCTTATCAAGTGAAATGATCGCTCATAAAAAAAAAAAATATCCAAAATTTTGTTTTATAAGCTCAAATGCTCGCCTTGCTCTCCTCTTCAAACTCGTTCATCAAAATGAACGAATCTTTTCCCGAGTCAACTCGTTCATTTCGTTCGTTGAATGAACCAAATGACACGAAAAAAGATTTGTTCATTTTAATAAACGAGTTTGAATAGGAGAGTCACGAACGCGCAATCACAGAACAGAGCAAGACGACCATTTGAGCTTATAAAACTTAAACTTTGTTATTTATTTATTAAATGAGCGATCAATGACCAAAAGGTTCAAGGTCCAAAAGACACTTTCAGTGCAAACTGTTCAAAGGGCTTTAAACGATCCCAGACGATGCATATGGGTCTTATCAAGCGAAACGATCACTCATTTAAAAAAAAAAATAAATAACAAAGTTTAAGTTTTATAAGCTCAAATGGTCGCCGCGTGCGTGATGCACGTTCGTGACTCTCCTGTTCGAATAGTTAATCAAAATGAATGAATATTTTTCCGAGTTTCGTTCGTAGAATGAACCAAATGACTCAGAAAAAGATTAGTTCATTTTGATAAACGAGTTCGAACAGGAGAGTCACAAACGCTCATCACAGAACAGAGCAAGGCGAGCATTTGAGCTTATAAAACGTAAACTTTGTTATTTTTTTATTAAATGAGCGATCGTTTCACTTGATAAGACCCTTATTCATCGTCTGGAATTGTTTAAAGCCCTTTGAACAGTTTGCAGTTTGCACTGAAAGTGTCTTTTGGACCTTGAACCGTTTGGTTCCCATTGAAGTCCATTATATGGAGAAAAATCCTGGAATGTTTTCATCAAAAACCTTAATTTCTTTTCCACGGAAGAAAGAAAGACATGGACATCTTGGATGACATGGGGGTGAGTAAATTATCAGCAAAAGTTTTTTTTTTTTTTTTTAAGTGAACTACTCCTTTAAAATTATAATCTTTATAAGTACTTTATGTGTGCTTTCGTATGTTAGCGAAAACATCAAAAACGTACACTTCTTTAAAACATCACAGATTTGTAAACATGATTTAAAATGCACTTTATTGTAAAACTATTCATTTGACATTATTAAAAAGTGAAACCTGAGAGTGTCATGAAAGAGTGCTCACTTTAAGTGGCCATTTATTTCATTAATATTATATTATCTACATGTATATGCTTTTCTTATTCTACTTTTAAGATTAAAAATATACTTTCAAGTACAATGCAAGTGGATTTTTGCAGATTAATTTCAACAATTCATATTAAAAGTATAAGGCCCAGAACGTTTTGGTTTGGTTTGAGCAGATCTTCAAATGTAAAGCAAAATACAGTATTAACAGTAGGCAAAGAACCATAATGTGGTATGCATAAGCTTATATCAACTCCTGCTTTAATGCTTTCAGTCGTTCATACCTTAGATTCTGTCTGGGAAATTTAGTGCCATCGATGCGTGGGAGATTAATGTGTTGGAAACCCACAAATATGATGATGTGCAATACATTCATTACACCTTTAGTTTGATTCAATGACCCATACTTACAATGGGCGTGAACACCACGGGAAAACAGCTGTGAAATCTTCATAATGCTTGTGGATGTAATGCCTTCCCACAACACACTCATGAGAAGAATTTAGAGACGGTGTTAGCCCATGGTTCATGAATTTATAAAAAAGTTATGGAAACATGAGAGTAATGTCATCATTCTGTCAGTGCTGGTTGCAGCAAGGAGACTTGAAGCAATATATATTTGTAGCAGACACCTTTATTTACAGTAAACCAGAAACAGGCAAGGGTAGAATATACAGCAAACCAACATAATAATGACAAGGATAGATGAAGTCAACTGAAACTGAAGGCTACTTATACACAGTCTGAGTAAAGGGAGAAACCAAGATACAGGTGCGGTGAATCATTCAACAAATGAATGACCATAGCAACCAATGAACAGGGACAAAAAGAAACACAAACTAAAACATGAAAATTGTTATGCGGTTCTGCCATTCATTTACACAACAACAGTGTGTCGAGGGCCTCAAAATGCAAACTTTTGAGAACGGGTTTTTGAAAGTTATACTGTGGAGGCGTAAAAAACGTGGTTTTGTGAAATCATGCACATTCGTTTTATGTGTCAAGTCTATAGGCGCGTAGTGTTTCTTTACAAAGTGACATCGCCAACTATCGGCCTGGCATGAATAATACAGTGTTTTTAATCCATTTTGTGGGTCAGTGTGAACAGGGATCATTTTGACAACGTTGCGTCAGCACACGAAAACGCGAAGGAAAAAAAAAGTTACCGTTTTTAGTATATCATTGTCGTGTAAACGTACCCTTAGAAGTATGACACACGACACATTTGTAGATCACCTGAAAATATTACTTGAGCGCTGGGACTGCTACTTATGCAGATGTACATGTAGCCTAGGATATTTTTAATCCAAGAGTTTCTTTATTTGAGTAACTAATAGTTGTAATATAGGTAAGCCTATATAGTACTAGACTGGATTTAGAGATGAGGTGTCTGAAATGTTAACGTCATAACGTTTCTTCACAATGATCATCATCTGTCATATCTGTTCACCCAAAAAAGAAAATGGTGTAATAATTTAGTCACCCATAAAGCCCAAAGTATACATACAACAGTGCATGCTCGAGGTAAATGTGGAGACAGCAGAGTCCACTTGGTGGCAATAAGCACAGTTGGGACGTACCGTGCAAGAAGTCGAAGAAGAGTATGGAAAGAGTGAAACAAAACAACAGAGTGGTCGAGGAACAATTATCAAAGCAGCATATCGGTCTTGATAGTTTTTGCTTTCTTGTTTTAAACTTTGCATGCAATGGCGTATCCTCTACTTTTCTTCTTATGTCCTTCAGAAAGAATGATCTGTAAATGACACACTCATCCGTGGTTGACGACTATGCGCGAGACAGAAATTGAAGAAATGACTTTTGTTCATCCTCAGAAGACATTGAAAGTCCATGCAACCATCATTTTACTGAAAAAGTACAAGTCATTGTAAAAGAAATCCAGAAGAAACAAGTGGTTTAACAGATTTAATGTAGATTTCTTCACATATAAACTTTGGTCAATGCACATACACTCACCTAAAGGATTATTAGGAACACCATAATAATACTGTGTTTGACCCCCTTTCGCCTTCAGAACTGCCTTAATTCTACGTGGCATTGATTCAACAAGGTGCTGAAAGCATTCTTTAGAAATGTTGGCCCATATTGATAGGATAGCATCTTACAGTTGATGGAGATTTGTGGGATGCACATCCAGGGCACGAAGCTCCCGTTTCACCACATCCCAAAGATGCACTATTGGGTTGAGATCTGGTGACTGTGGCGGCCATTTTAGTACAGTCAACTCATTGTCATGTTCAAGAAACCAATTTGAAATGATTCAAGCTTTGTGACATGGTGCATTATCCTGCTGGAAGTATCCATCAGAGGATGGGGACATGGTGGCCATAAAGGGATGGACATGGTCAGAAACAATGCTCAGTTCTCAATGCTCATTGGCACTAAGAGGCCTAAAGTGTGCCAAGAAAACATCCCCCACACCATTACACCACCATCACCAACCTGCACAGTGGTAACAAGGCATGATGGATCCATGTTCTCATTCTGTTTACGCCAAATTCTGACTCTACCATCTGAACGTCTCAACAGAAATCGAGACTCATCAGACCAGGCAACATTTTTCCAGTCTTCAACTGTCCAATTTTGGCGAGCTCTTGCAAATCGTCGCCTCTTTTTCCTATTTGTAGTGGAGATGAGTGGTACCCGGTGGGGTCTTCTGCTGTTGTAGCCCATCCGCCTCAAGGTTGTGTGTGTTGTGGCTTCACAAATGCTTTGCTGCATACCTCGGTTGTAACGAGTGGTTATTTCAGTCAAAGTTGCTCTTGAATCAGTCGGCCCATTCTCCTCTGACCTCTAGCATCAACTAGGCATTTTGGCCCACAGGACTGCCGCATACTGGATGTTTTCCCCTTTTCACACCATTCTTTCTAAACCCTAGAAATGGTTGTGCGTGAAAATCCCAGTAACTGAGCAGATTGTGAAATACTCAGACACCAACAACCATGCCACGCTCAAAATTGCTTAAATCACCTTTCTTTCCCATTCTGACATTCAGTTTGGAGTTCAGGAGATTGTCTTGACCAGGACCACACCCCTAAATGCATTGAAGCAACTGCCAAGTGATTGGTTGATTTGATAATTGCATTAATGAGAAATTGAACAGGTGTTCCAAATAATTCTTTAGGTGAGTGTATATAGATAGAGTACATCAAATATGATAAACTGATATCTCAATCATGCTTGCTTGCCACGAGAATCAGTGAGGTTTGCATGGACTTTCAATGAATGGACAAATGTGATGAGAGAATATTAAAATATCTTCAT